ATTATTAATTTATTACTAGTATAAGCAAAGATAAGTCATTATAGCAAAAAAAGTTATAGAAAAGCATTGATTAAATGAAAGGATGGTAAAATGTTTAATGACTGATAATCATAAAACACAGTTTATAATGAAAGGCACTGACTTTATTAGGATTTAGATTCGTTACTGATGTTTTGTAAGACAGTTTTGTCTTACAAATGTCGCATTTGGCCGTGAAATCATCTAATACCAAAAAGTAATTCCACACCTCACCGGTTTTTCTTTTAAGACTCATTGTATCTATATAATTAATACGCTACATGAAACTTTGTCGGTTGAACTCCTCCGCCATTTCTTAACCGAATTTATCCATTGGCGTCTCATTGAAAAGAGCGTGTCGCGTAGATTTGCAAACTGACCTTACATTTTTGAAAAAGTCCCTTGGGCATCTGCCCCAGTGGCTGTTAAAGTTCCCATGTTATCCTTATGAAGAACATAATTGTTTACATTTTGATCAGCTGTATAATTTAATTGCTGTTATTTATTTTTCAATTCAAAGTCTTTTAAACTCATCGGAAATTATGATGACTTTTATTTGTTTTTAAATAACTAATTTACTTCTTTGCAATTGCTCGATTTCGAGCAACGTGTTTACTAGTAATAATTAATCTGATGAGTTCATCTCAATAACGCAGAAACTGAAACTAATGTAAACAAAACAAAGCGAACAGCGATAGGGTGCAAAGCCCGCTCAAAGTACAGTAGTTCGCTCAAAATCCGAAGGATACAGACAGAGAGCAGCACTTACAAGGACGGCGGATACAGCCCAGTCACAGCGCTCCTACAGTCGATATTTTGAACTAAAAGCCTGTGACTGCGACTGCGGCTGGGGAACAGAGACTGTGACTCGCTCAGTCACAGCGCTGCTCGCGCTTCTACAGTCGATATTTTGAACTAAAAAGCTGCGACTGCGACTGCAAATGGTGAACAGAGACTGTGACTCCGGTAGCTACTACTTTTGATATCGTGTCACAGACTGTGACTGCGACTTAAAAATATCGGTGACAAAATCACAGTATGTGATTTATCGCTCATCCCTACGCTGTCCCGTTAGTAGACAGACGAAAAAAAGGGCGGTGACGGTCTGACGGCAAGGTCTCCTATGGTGTTCCCTCAGCCAATAGAATGCTTTGCTTCCCCCACTCCGCAGTGCCAGGGGACAACATCATGATGATTTAGCGAAGGTTTAGACTCTAGTCGAAAAGAGAGAGAACCATGTTAGTTAGTAGTCCTGGAGAGAACCGAACTGAGAACGAGAACGGACGGATCGACCACTCGACCAGTGTTTCCATTTGAGGGATAAAAATCCCTTTCTAGGGATATTTAGGGCCTTCGAGGGATTGAAAAGGGATTGAGGGATAACTAGGGATAATCAGCGAAATTGAAGGATTTTTGAGATTTTCTAGGGATTTCAGGCCTTTGACATTATAAAATTGAAATATTGATAAAATAATACATTATGGCTGTATTTCAACAACGTTAAGGACCTATTTTGGCTCATTTTGCAAGGTATTGATAACACATTGATAAAAATACTTTTCCCTAGGTTTTGGTAACAAATCGATTATTGTAGCATAGATAAAACAAACGGTTAGTCTATGGTTGTAGGTAGTGGTAGTGACGTAGGTAGTGTTTCAAGTTTCAAAGTCGGAACACTCAAGGGGAAGAGTAACAGCCAACACTGCACGAAACAAGCAAAGTTGGAGTTGGTCGGTGGAATGGAATGGCGGATCTAGATTACTGTATTTATTTGTTTCTTAGTCCTGTGTCAATGTCGAATGTTTGTTTTCGTTTTCATTTTGTTTGCCGGTGATTTCTGTGATGTCTGTGATGTTCTTTGGTTAGTAAGTAACTTGGTGTAACCTTTTCACCAAGGCATGGTGGCCATGTTTGAAAAATACCGTACCGTACTATTAAGTTTGAAATTTGGACACTTGAGTAATATTTTTGAAACAATTGTAGGCCTAAATACTTATAAATAAAAATTATTAGTTTATAAAATTTAAAAAAAAAACTATTTGTTTAATTTTTTAGTTAATTAATCTTGTTTTGTACCACATAGACAGTTTTTAATCACGGCTACCTTTAATTCCAGACCGGAGGCCGTGGCCTTCGAAGTGGCAACGTTGCAAGTATAGTGTTGTAAAAGGTGTTTGTTTGGAGAACGCTAAACTAATGATATTTATGTATTTTTTTAAGAATACGAAAGCTTGGTTACTGAGCTATGAAAATGTCGACTCCACATTGAATGTACAGAAATAGATTTTCAATTTATATTGTTTTGGTTTTCGATTCTATATTATGTTTTATTTCCATGTTAACTTATGGGACGTCTGGCGCTAAACAATACTACGGTACTTGCAACGTTGCCAATTCTACCAGGCCGCGGCCTGCCTGGAGTTAAAGATGGCCGTGGTTTTAATGGTACAAAAATGTTTTTATATAGTATTAGGCCTACTTTATAAATAATATGGGATATTGAAGAATAATATCACCAGTTACCATATTTTTAGGTGGCTATACATGATATCCATTGGTATTGCTGCAAAAATAATAAGTTATCTAGATTTGATATAGAGGGATAATTGGAGGGATTATTAGAACACGGACTAGGGATAACTAGGGATTTTTTGACGTTGGCCCAGGGATATTTTTTTCTTGCGGATGGAAACACTGCACTCGACGTCGACGAAAGACGAAACATGATTCATTCAAGAAAATATGTGCGGATTTAGATAGGTTGATTGATTTAAATTAGACAGCTCCTGAGTTATTACGATTTCAGATTTAGTTGATCTTGCTAAATGTGTGTAGTCTTCAAGATGTAACAATATTGAAGAGGTAAAATAGATAACACCTAATCTGGCTTCGGCAGGCTACATTTGGGGCTAGTGGTTGGTATATGTAAGTTATCTCAAATTTTTCTGAGGCTCTAGATGGAAAACCCGTACAGGACAGGCTATACTTACCCACCTAATAGGTCGTGATTAACATTTGGGTAAAACTTAAATATCCTACTTTATCGTATTTTCGGAAAGGCAGAGGATACGCGTGGATTAGGCGTCCGGCAGTTACTGTCATAACCTAACCCAACTAACCAAACTCTGATTGTGCAAAAATCGAATGAAAGGTAGATTCTGTTAATAAAATAAAATTATTAATGCCTCAAATTCGATCAAAAGTACCTACCTCTTGAACATTAGCCGAGTAGGCTACTGTATCTACTAATCTTACACCACAAACACCAAGGGCAGCACTTCGTATCGTTGTGGCAATTGTGTTCTGGGCCCCCTACCCTACAACCCGGTGTGGTGATGTCACTGCCGGACGCCTAAACCACGTTCGGTGACAGGACGCTTTAGTTATCCTTTGCTTTTCAAAAAATAGGATGGAACAAAAATTAACTTGGGCCTAAGTAACGGGATTTTCAATTCTGTCTATCCTATGCATTGACCTTTAAACTTACTGTTGATGTAATATCCTCATAAGGCCAATCATGATTGGAATGTATAGAGAAAGTTTATAAAAACCTATCCAACCCAACAAAATGATTGTAATAACAATATTTAGTTAGTGTAGGCCAGTGTTAGTTTGTTCTAGAAATAAAATCCAATTGAAAGCAGGTAGGCCTAGATCGTACATAACTTTTATCGATCAATTGGTGAGAAAATCAATAGCCTGCTTAGGCAATAATGGTTAGTCTACTATTTATACCTCTGAAGTACTTACTTGAAATACTTTATCTCTTCATCCTTGACCTTACATCCTTTCATCCTTGCATACATTCATTTGATCTGACATTAGGCAAGTTTATTTTACCACCGTGGCAACACTATGTGCTTCGTATATTTTTTCACTTCCAAAGTAAGTTGCATAGCAGAACTGGCAAATATTATTCATCTCACAAAGTGTGTATATGGATGTGTATCTGTTAGACTAGGCCTCTCTTTCTCTACCGTACTCTCCTTATACGCATTTTTAAGATACCTTATTATTAATTTTCTCCTCCCGTTTTCAATATTTCTTCTTTGAACTTCAGGCATTTTCCGTTCTTTCAACAAAACTGTTTAACTTGGTCTTAACCTACTGAATATTCATTAATATTTACTCGCAAAAGGCTAATGATTTTCTTTTTATAAACAGCTGTTTTTTTTTGTTTTTAAATTTATTCGATGTATTTCTTATGGGGAAAACCAGACTTTTGAGAGGGTCTCACGCCCTTAAGAGTAGAAATTTCTAGAAAATTCTAAAACCTTATTGCAAAACTACATATTGAGACGAATCTTTTGGCACCTTAAACGTTGAAATTGGTCCACAAATAAGGGAGGAGTTGTGTTAGTAACAAATTACGGCTTCACGTATTATTTATAGGCTATAGATAAGCCTATGCATTAAGTAGGCTAAGTGTAAAACTTCCCGTTTATCCTATAGCCTAAGTTAACCCTTTCTCGAGCGGGTGAAACAATTTTATTTGCAACACTGTACCAATTATATGCCAGGCCTGTGGTGTCGCTTCTAGGAATGCCGACCATTTCTCCACATAAATGTGGGTGTTTACGAAAACCGTCATAAAATGGGCCTATTTCTTTATTAACATTTTTGGCCTGAATTTGTTTAGTTTTGTAGTTTATTAGATCGTGCATTGTAAAATACTAATTTTAGTTGGGGTTTCAAAGAGTTAAAATAAAGTATTTTCATAGACGCAATCGTCATACTATTGTCCGCCGAATACTTTCAGGACATTTGGTGTGCGAAAGTATCACTCATTTGGTATCGTTCGATTCATAACAAAACGAGGAAAGTCCTACAAACATATTTATTACCCAACCTAACATAACCGCCGCAGCGCGTTGTATAAGAGTGGCCTCCGGATAATACCAAAGTACCTATTTAAGTTACTCAATGTAAGTTAGTCCTAGGCCTGACTTATTGTGCCCACTGATTTTTTTTTTGTTTCAGTTAGGGTCTACCTGCTTTTTATTCTATCAACCCCTAAATTATACCTCAAGTATAAGAATCCGCAGCTAAAAGAAGTCTCAAGAAGTGTCAACACTTTGTAAGTAAATTAAACCGTTTCTCTGGTTAAGTTAAAAGTAACTTAAGTTTATAACTTTTCTATCGGCCTAATATTGTCAAATTCGTGCTATGTAATAACTTAGACTAAGTTACGCTAGGCTATATTTATTGATTACTGTAAAGCAGGTCATCCGAGATATGAGTTAGGTTAACTTCAATAGGTTGACTGATAATTTATCAACACAGTAGGATTATCAGACCAAGTTATTCAAATTTGTGTTTACTAAATAAAAATACTTGATCATTTTATTCTACATCAAATAGGCGATGTCAGGTCCTCTTTGTAATGATGCACGTAGGCTAAAAAGACTTTTTTTACTGGTGCGTCAAAGACTAGGCCTATCTATCGTTTCTACATCCTTCATAAATTGGCGTAGCCTATTACTATTCATGAACAGTTATCGAGTGCATTTGGTAGGGAATTAATCCTAAAATACCAGATTTTTTGCCAGTAACTTGTAAAATATTTGATTATAACTTGAGTTATGTATAACGGAATTTTCCCTAGCTCTTAATTTACAGGATTTAATCAGAGCTTGGCTGTGATAGTACCTTGTAAGGTTTTTTGGACTTACTTTCACTTGTCCTAATAAAAAAAAGACATCTCTAGTGTGGTAGCCTAGATGAGTTCCCTTATTGTTGAATGTAACCTTGCACAAAAATCCAACTACCTAGCCTATATGATGATAATTTATTTTACCATATTAGTAATTTGTATTAACATCGCTGAAATGTAGGTAAAGCAACTCACCTACTTATACTACCTTAATTTTAGGACCTAATTGTTTTTGTTCAAACAAATGGATTTGTGCTGTCTATTAAAAAAGCGAATCAACATTATGTACTAAAGTGATCATCCAAAAGACAGTTTTTCCCTTTAAGTGTCTTGTGGTGTTAAGATTGCTATGAATAACAAGCATCAAATAGTAATGGAATTTTGTATTCCATTGCAGACGAGGAATGCTGTTTGAGGGTGAAGCAGACGCTCCTCAAAGCAATGCTACGTTTATCAGGATGCAATCGATTGAGAACATTACGCTGCAGACTTGAAAGAGGTTTCAGTAACTTGAATCATGTGGAGACAGAGGGAGAAATAGTCATCGACCCGAAAACTAACAAACATTTAGATAATGCGAAAGAGAAACAAGAGACACCTGCCAACTCTTCTACAAAGCCCTTCAAAAGTACTTTTAAAGTTTACGATGAACACAGTCCAAGATTTAACGACTTCAATATTCAGATGATACCAAAATCTATGTGTGACCTTTTATTCGGTAAAAATCCAAAAAGTACACCGTGCAACTTGCAGGAACTGAATAAAGCTATTTTGGAGTTAAAAAAGCACGGATTGATGTCTGATATGAACGGAGCGCAGGATGTAAAATTAAATCTACCTAAACTCGAGGGTAAAACTATCGACGATCATTTTTATAATATTGGTGAAAAACAGTGTGGTTCCTACCGTAACTTAGTTCTCCACTTTTTGTCGGGGTTACCCAAAGTTCCTACCTGTTGGGAATTGAAAGAGGGTTGGACAAAATATACTGAGGATGGGACTACAAGCGTTGACTTTCCAGATGAAGATGTATTGGTGTTTGATGTTGAAGTTTGTTGTTCCGAAGGGCAAATGCCAACAATAGCGACAGCAGTTAGTAGTACAGCTTGGTACGCTTGGGTTAGCTCAAGATTAATCAATAACAGTAAATCCGCTGAGAACCATCACACTTTAGATCAACTGATACCCCTTGAAAGTACAGACTCCGATAAAGGTTATAATTTTAGTGAAAAGATGATGAGGCCTAGAATAGTGATTGGTCACAATGTAAGCTATGATCGAGCGAGAGTCAAGGAACAGTATTGGTTGGAAAGAACGGGTCTTAGGTTTCTAGATACGTTATCTCTTCATGTTTCTGTCAGCGGAGTTACTAGTTATCAGAGAAATCTCTTGAAAGCTGGTCTAGGTCAAGACAACGAGTGGAGCAAGTTGAGCTCTTTAAACAATTTAAGTAAAGTTCACAATTTATATTGTGGTTCTGAGCTGTCTAAAGAAGAACGAGATATATTTGTTAAAGGTACAATCTCCGATGTATTAGACAATTTTCAATCGTTAGTGTCTTATTGCGCTAACGATGTTTTGGCTACTCATAATGTCCTATGTAAACTATTTCCAATGTTCTTAGACCGATTTCCTCATCCTGTGTCTTTGGCTGGGATACTCGAGTTGGGTTTGGCGTACTTACCGATAAATTCAAGCTGGAATCAGTACATATCAGATTGTAACGCAGCGTACGATGATTTAGATCATGAGGCAAAGCAGATTTTGATCCAACTTGCTGATGATGCTTGTCAACTTTTACATGACGATGCGTACAAAAAACATTTATGGTTGTGGGATCAAGATTGGTCTGTTAGAAATCTGGCTCTCAAGAAAAAGGCTGGGAAGAAAGAAGTGGATTCGGTTGATACTGTTGATAATGATGAAAAAGATAGTGATTTAGGTCTCTTGACGTCAAATGAGAAATCGGATTATGAAGTCCTACTAAGTAAATTTAAGAGTTTATTAGGAACAGAACAGTTACTTCCTTTGAAACCTCCTCATCTTCCCGGATATCCTGCTTGGTACACTAAACTCTGTCCTAAATTGTCATCCCCGGAATGGTCACCGGGCCCGCAATTGATAAGCACATCAATGCAAATTGCACCTAAGCTCCTTTCTCTGACTTGGCAGTCGTTGCCTTTACATTATGTCCGAGGCCACGGCTGGGGTATGTTGGTTCCTTACAAGACTGATGTAGAACTGGAAAATATTGAACAAGTTCCAATGGAACAACTGGTTTTGTATTGTCAAAATATTCAAAGTGATTTATTGTGTAAATGTTCAAAACTTGTAAAAGACGAGCATATTGAATTTAAATGTGATACGAGTAACTTAAAAAGTGATCCATCCAAAGGAACTCCTATATTTTGTAGATCTGAAATGGGATCTGGTTGCGGCTTGGTAAAACTACCCCATAAAGATGGTAAACATTTGAATGTCGGTAACCCTCTAGCTCGAGATTACATCCACAAATTTTCAAAGGACAGTTTAGGCGGAGGTGATGAAAAGACTGAACGGCTCATTGAAATTAGCAAAATGCTCTCATATTGGAGAAATAACAAAGAGAGGGTCGAAAGTCAAATAGCAGTATGGTTAGGGAAAAAGGATATACCAACGTTCATGAAAACTGATGTAGAATTGGGTGCGATACTTCCACAAGTAACTGTTTCTGGAACTCTGACACGAAGAGCAGTCGAACCTACTTGGATGACCGCATCAAACGCTCTCAGTGACCGAGTAGGATCTGAACTGAGAGCGATTGTGACAGCACCTCCGTCTTACTTTCTAGTTGGAGCTGATGTTGACTCCCAGGAACTTTGGATAGCCTCCATCATTGGAGACGCTTACTCGTACAACCACCACGGAAGCACTCCCTTCGGATGGATGACTCTGAGTGGCAAGAAGTCAGATGGCACCGATATGCATAGTGTAACAGCCAAAGCTATCGGAATATCTAGAAACCAAGCCAAAGTTATCAACTACGCTAGAATATACGGAGCTGGTCAACCGTTTGCTGAACATCTGTTGAAGCAATTTAATCCTGACATGTCGTCTTCTGAAGCGAGACAAAAAGCGTCCAAAATGTTTTCAATGACCAAAGGCAAACGAATTTACATCTTGAAAAAACACATTTTACCCGATATACGTCAGCGCACTTACACAAAATACGGAGCTAGAGAAGTATGTTCTTTGTATGGCAAAGGCATCGATGAATTGTTCGAAGTCCCAAAATGGATTGGCGGAACCGAATCAGCAATGTTTAATCGACTTGAAGAAATCGCTTCAGATCCTGAACCTAAAACTCCTTTTCTCAAAGGGAGGCTCAGCAGGGCACTAGAGCCTGGGACTGATGCAGACGACAAATTTATACCGACTCGAGTAAACTGGGTCGTTCAAAGCGGAGCCGTTGACTTTCTTCATCTGATGCTTGTTTGTATGCGATGGCTGCTAGGACCCAACATTAGGTTCTGCCTCAGTTTCCATGATGAAGTGCGTTATCTAGTCCCTCAAAATCTTCGATATCAAGCAGCTCTCGCTTTGCACGTCACAAATCTGTACACAAGAGCGTTTTGTATCAGCCAACTGGGAATGATAGACGTGCCGCTGTCAGTAGCGTTCTTCAGCTCTGTTGAAGTCGACACGGTTCTTCGAAAGGAAGCCGATCTCGATTGCAAGACACCCTCAAATCCCTTCGGATTGTCAAAAGGATATGGTGTACCACCTGGGGAAAGTTTGAATATTGAAGAGGCCATTAGAAAAGCAAGAGGGACTGTAGGCCTTCCCTGCTTTAGAAGTAAAAGGTATTGTACCACTAATAAAATCTTATAAAACATTGTTTAAATTGTTCTCTAAAAAAATGTTGAACCCACCGTCATATTCTACATTGTAATCTTAAAGAATATCCAAGTCAATTCATGTTAAAATACAAATATTGTCTACGCAAACAACTGACTCCAAGCAACACTGACATCTTGAAAGTTGAAAATGTTGTAGAAGTCAATCACAGAAAGCTTGAATATGAAATTAGTATTCTTAAAATGGTTTACAATACCTGCATATAGTAATCCTTTGTTGCTGTTTTGGCAACTAGTTTCGGTTCATTATTGAACCATCTTCAGGCCTCAAGGTGTCAAATAATCACTTCATTCGAAGGTCGTTAATAACAGAGTTCAATAAATAAGACATATACAAAACACGAAACACGGAACGGACACACATTACAAAAAACACGAAAAACACGAAGGGACATTGACAATCGATCGTGACCGGGCTGAGGTAAAGTCTAGACTAGCGGTCAAAGTGGCCTATGACGTTGTCTCTGTCTTCTTATCACCGGTGCGTGTTCATTCATTCATTGTTCCCCTCCAGTATCCTAATAGCTGTATTGTAAATATAGTTGGATTGAAAGGAGAGTTTATCGTTCAAAACGTTTTGATGGTCAGCTTTAACTGCTCTGTATATTTCAAATTCCTCCAATGTGTTTCTGTTTAAACGGTCCTGCGAAAAATGTAAAACTTCCATATTACTATTGATGTTTGAATAATTGTGGTTGTGTAATACCAGATGTTCTGCGTAATTTGATGTTTGGGGAGCTGTTGTCTTTCTGGGCATATGTTCCTTAAACCTCTTCTTAAACGAGCGTGAAGTCTGGCCAATGTAATATTTTGTGCAGTCATTACAATTTATTTTGTAGACTCCAGACTTATCGTAGATGGTTGAATTAGTTTCTGTTTTTTCTTTCAATAGAGATCTCCAAGTTTATTGTTAGTCTTGAACGATACGGTGAATTTATTTTTGTCCATGATATTTTTAAATGTGCTACTGATATGTGAACCATAAATTGCTGAAATATACGTTTTCTTTTCTGTTGATTTAGTTTGAGGTTTATTTAAATGTTTGAAAATCAGTTTGTCCACTAGACTGGAGTGAAAGCCATTTGCGACTGCTATGTATTTTATCGTGTTTATTTCTTCATCATAATCATTCTGATTCATCGGTATTGATAACAATCTATAGATAAAACTTTCACTCCAGTCTAGTGGACAAACTGATTTTCAAACATTTAAATAAACCTCAAACTAAATCAACAGAAAAGGAAACGTATATTTTAGCAATTTATGGTTCACATATCAATAGCACATTTAAAAATATCATGGACAAAAATAAATTCACCGTATCGTTCAAGACTAACAATAAACTTGGATCTCTATTGAAAGAAAAAACAGAAACTAATTCAACCATCTACGATAAGTCTGGAGTCTACAAAATAAATTGTAATGACTGCACAAAATATTACATTGGCCAGACTTCACGCTCGTTTAAGAAGAGGTTTAAGGAACATATGCCCAGAAAGACAACAGCTCCCCAAACATCAAATTACGCAGAACATCTGGTATTACACAACCACAATTATTCAAACATCAATAGTAATATGGAAGTTTTACATTTTTCGCAGGACCGTTTAAACAGAAACACATTGGAGGAATTTGAAATATACAGAGCAGTTAAAGCTGACCATCAAAACGTTTTGAACGATAAACTCTCCTTTCAATCCAACTATATTTACAATACAGCTATTAGGATACTGGAGGGGAACAATGAATGAATGAACACGCACCGGTGATAAGAAGACAGAGACAACGTCATAGACCACTTTGACCGCTAGTCTAGACTTTACCTCAGCCCGGTCACGATCGATTGTCAATGTCCCTTCGTGTTTTTTGTAATGTGTGTCCGTTCCGTGTTTCGTGTTTTGTATATGTCTTATTTATTGAACTCTGTTATTAACGACCTTCGAATGAAGTGATTATTTGACACCTTGAGGCCTGAAGATGGTTCAATAATGAACCGAAACTAGTTGCCAAAACAGCAACAAAGGATTACTATATGCAGGTATTGTAAACCATTTTAAGTATAATACAGTCATCCGGAGGCTAAACAACTATATTTTAAAATTAGTATTGATTTCAAGTACTTGCTGCTGTGGCTCTCATTTTTTGCCTCTTCTTTCCTTTCTACTAACCTTCTCATGTCTTTTCCGATCTGGTGTCGCTAAAGATTTAAAGTTTTAGACCTAAAACTCAATGAATAGGAATTAATTTTCATACTTTTGGACCCAGCTGTTCTTGATTATGAACTTATGAAACAGCTTATCTTAATCAGTAACAAAGCTACACAGATCATTCCACTCCATTTTAAACTAACCCTTTACTCATGGGTTAAAATGCACACCTAGATGGTGTCCCCATCTAATAATAAATAGTAATAATAACTAAAAATTGTCCTGGCTAATGGACAGGCTGATCTAAGTCAGGAACAACACTGTCATCCAATTCATTCAACGTCCTAGACTAAACCAATACATTCGTTAGTGTGCATCGGATAGAATCTAATTTAACTTGTAATTCAATTTTTTGAAATTGTGTTGTAGGAAAAGCGAGTAATGTCAACCTCGTCATCCACAAAACGCAAGCACGTCTACTCGGAGCTGCTTCAACCGGAACTCAGAGTCCCCAGGGAGAATCAGCAGATCGTGCGATTGACGGGAGGAAGGGGAAACCACCTGCACGACGCTGAAACACCAGAAGGTGACAAGTTCATCGTCAGCATGCCTACCAAGTTCCGCAAGAGTGTGTGGGTGAAGCGAGGCGACTATGTACTAGTAGAAAGTATCCCTGAAGGCGATAAGGTGATTTTTGCACCTTTTTTACTTGTTTTACAATTCTGTACATTACTAATACTTTTTAAACTTTTCTTATCCTAGATGTATTATTTGTCCTAGTGGTACTTATACAATATACACTCTCATAAGCAAGTGTGTGGGTAAACAAAAAACAAGTATTACAATGGTTAATATTTTTCGATGGTAAATAACTCTTCAGCAGCTGTTTGAAATTAACAAAATTAACATTGCTCTTGTGACAGGCAAATCCAAGATGGCCATTAGCTTCCATGGACTCCCTTGGAAAACAATTAGTAACTACATAGAAAACTACTAATCCCACAGTGCACTAGATATTTAACCACTTTAGTGTTTGAAAAAATATTTTTGGATGTTAAACAACTCTATAGCAGCTTTTTGAAATAATCAAAGATGGCCGCTAGCCTCCATGGACTATTGTAACAAGCTGCTGAATGTCGACTTATATTTAATATCTCCACAGTCATTTAAATAGAGCAAAACATCACAAATCAATAACTAGATTTTTTAAGCAACATTTGGTGTAGCCTATATTAAGTTTTTAGAAAAGTATAGAAAATATTCAAGATTACACTTTGATCATGATTTTTTGCGTTTTACGCTACAATCACCTTTAAAATATCAACAAGTGTGTTGAATTATAGGTTAGTGCTACTGGTTGGAAGAATTCTCAGAGGAAGGTTTTCTCAGTCTTATTGTATTTTGGTTGGATATTTATAACAATTTCATAAATAATAATATACAACTTTAAAAATATAACTTGTGTTGCAGGTCAAAGCAGAAATTGTTACCGTGTTGACCAAAGATCACATTAGATTCTACAAGAATCAGAAGTGCTGGCCAGACCAGTTTGAGGAAAAGAGTAACTCTTTTAGCGTCCAGCCGAGGTACGAAACATCGTCCTCATCATCTTCCACTTCTGACGAAGACTGAAGACTAATCTCGTTGTTTTGTACAAAGTTATACATTTTCTACCATAAAGTTTTGTATTAATGCATCTTTGTAACTTTTTTTGTTCCTCGAAAACCAAAATAAAGTATTGTTGCGAATCGGATGGTAATTTACCTTTAATAAAAATAATTTGTGTTGGAAGTTAACCTCGTTTCTGCATAGGTTTTCAAATTAAAACGAAAACTAAATAAATGTTAAGCTTAGGCCTACGCAAACATATCAGACATAACCTAAACCGTTATTTGTCAATTAGTTATGACCATTTAAAGGCCATCCCTCATGAAAATCAGTATTTTAACATCTTAAAGAACTAGATTTGTTACAACTTTTATTGAACATATAAAACTCAATATTTTTAAGTTACTTTCAAATCCAGCACCTCACAATATCTCATCTTTCATAAATAATAAGCGATTAAATTTCTTGGTCTTACAAATTTTGAAGATATAATCACAATCTTACACACTCTTAAAAATAGTTTGTGATAAAAAGTAAAAACGCTCGTATTGCCTAGTGAACACATTTTAAAATGGCTTCTTTCATTACTGTTGTCTCGTAGTGGTCTCCGGACCTATCTACGACTGATGAGACTAAACAAAGTCGAAACAACAGAGTACAGTCCTTGACTATATATACACTAGTCTATATAGTCAAGGATACAGTCCTTGATTCAAAGAAAAAAATATTCCTTTTTATTAACTTTAGTCCTCTTATCCCAAGGTCTGCGAAATGGTATATTTTGCATACTAAAAAAAAACCTATGCACTTCAAGGTCTCTTATACCCTTCTCTATACCTAGTATTTGCCCCTCTTGCCCCGAGGTTAATATTGTTCCTCATTATTGTTTAACCCTTCTATTATCCCTAGTATTTGTTCCTCTTGTCCCAAGGTCAATATTGATCCTCACTATTGTCTTACCCTTCTCTATACCTAGTATTTGTCCCTCTTGCCCCGAGGTTAATATTGTTCCTCATTATTGTTTAACCCTTATATTATCCCTAGTATTTGTTCCTCTTGTCCCAAGGTCAATATTGATCCTCACGTCTTACCCTTGTACCCAAAGTATTTGTTGGATACTGCCAATTCTTCAGCTTCTGAAAACAAACTACTGAACACTTCTTGACTGGTCGCTATTTTTTCTTCAAGTAGTTCTAAGTTTTCCTTTACTGCACTTTTAGCAAAACTATGTCTACAGTTTTCTTTTGGCACATCCTACTTATGTTCGTCAGACACATGACAGTGACAATAAAAGACGAGTCCATCATTGACAAATGCAAAGAATGTGCCATTGCTGTTGTGTCAGTCTCATTCCACTCGGAAATCTTCAAGAGAGCATCACTGATTCTGTTGAGTTCCTTCTAAAGAGAAAAATGCTTTTGTGGCGCTCTATCCATCTTGTCTCACAAAACCAATCAATTGCCTTCCCAAAGTGTCCTTCAAAACCGTATTCCGCTTTGAAGATGCATTGTAAAAAGCAATAATGCTTTTGATAACACCCAAACATCACTTAACATGAATCACATTTGATGTTTTTGAGATGGACAAGTTCAATGCATGGTTGAAACAAATGCACTGTATAGCATTGGTACAATCTTTAAGGATAGCTGCAACTGCTCCTTTGTTCCAGATACCATAGTGGAACAACCATCTGTAGCCACGCCAACGCAGTTCATTTTCGGAAGTCCATGCTTTTTCATGAAATGTAGTACTATTGTCCCATTAACTTTTCCTGTCAACGGCTTGCCAGCAAATATGCATAATCTTCCAAAATTCTTTCTATTCTATGATTCATGAACTCTGCAAAATGTTTAAAGATATCACAATTATGTACACAACAAATGCAAATGTTAACTGTCACATATGTGATACATCTGTCATTTCATCAAAATACGATACTGAACCATTTACTTTGCTGAACTCTTTCAATGATGGTTTTCATTATCTCTTCAGCGCAACAACTAATCAATTTGTTCTGAACAGTTTTGCTTACATACTTAGCATTCCCAGGTGCAGATTCCATGTTGTTCGTGAACTTTGTCTCCAGCCTCTACTCTGAAACGAATTAGCTCACGAAATTTTCGATCATTACTAACAATGTTATTTTGTTATTCATTGTGACCCTTCGTTGAAATATGTTATTGATAAAATAGAAGAATAACCTTATCCAACCACAGTTGCTGACAACAGTTTTGTTTCTCAGAATTTCGTCAGGTCATTGTATGCAACCACATTATTCTCACTGCCAGTTGAACACAAATCTCCCTCATCTGGGTGTCCTCGAAATGGTATATTTTGCATACTGAAAAAAAACTATGCACTTCGAAATGGACTTCAGTTTTTTCTGTTTTCCAAAACATCTTTTTGGTGCTGCTTGCTGATTTGGTTTTCTACTTGGAGATTCGGATTATTAATTCTTCTTAGAAATTCTTTTCCATTGCCATACAGTGATATGCGTCTTGAGAATGTGTTGTAAGGTTCCCATCTTTTCCAAAAAGATGTTTATAATCTGTCACAGGCTTGGAAACTAGATTTCTCAAAGAGACACCACCAGCTGCAGCAGAGGCAAACAAAGCGCAGTACACGCAAAACAATCCTTTCTGAGACACAGAAAAAACTAACCACTGAAACTGATTAAAAAGATCATGTGAAGGCCGTCTGAAGCTGTCTTTTCCGTTCTTTTTTACAACCATGCATGGAAATACATAATCCTTCGATGGTTTCCAGTGATTAACCAACAGCTGTTCTTTTGTTAAGTCATCAGTAGACTTACCAATATAATCTCCAATATCATACACAGTTTCCCTTGTTGGTTCTGGTATTATGATTTCTGAGCTTGTAGCTTGATGTGGTAGATAGTTAACTTTTTCAACTCCATGACTTTCCTTATTCTCGCTTAGAGTTTCTAAGAGTGAATTTTCACCATCATGCTTAACATTTTTAGAGGAAAAGTCTGAAAGTTTTGCTTGCGTTGAACTTCTCTTTATTGAAGATTTATTGTTCATACTTAAATCTGCCTGAAATCATGTGTAAAAATATAATTTAAATCAATTATTATAAATGTAAATTAAAAAAAAAAAATTTATTAACATTATGCTTAAAAAGCACATTCAAATGATATACTGTGCCTTTTACAGCCTAAATTTATTAGTTCATTAGTTGCACATTTAAATTTTTTGTTTTTACCTTCAATGTTTTGGTTTATTTCAATTTTTATTATTTATTTGTCTGTTTAAAATTTAACTATTTATCAATGGTAACTTATTCAAGACTGAAAAAGTGCTAAAATAAATTTGCAGGAAGAAAATAGTCCGTATTAGTTGACCAGATAATTTGTATAAATAATTCTATATGAATTAAAACTAAATACAAATTAAAGACAAGCTCTTTTATCAAGCTCTTCTACATAGTTTAATGAAAGATGTTTAAATGAAATAAATCTATTAGGAAATTTACATTTAAATACATTAGTCATACTTTAAAGCGCTAGAGTCATCTTTAGGGAAGTTCTGTCCATTTTCCTCATGAGGTATATTTTGGAAAAAGGAATTGTATTTCTCAGGGATCCACTGTAACAAATTCATGAGATTCTTGCACTTTTCATTGCTAATACTTTTTTTGTTATATTAATTGGAAGAGAAAATCAACGGACGAGGCAACATCTGAGATGTACATAAAGAAGACATGTTTTTTAGTGGAACCACATGAAGAACAAGCAGGAGTGGTTGATTTAACACATTGAGTGCTAATAATTATGATAATTGCGGATATGAAAAGCTAAAAAATTATTATGTGATTACTTACTCAGAAATGATGTCAGGATATCGCAAATGGTACTTCCAGTTATCCAGGGTCCATTTTAGCGAATTTCCCTATAGGGAAGTAGCTATTACCGTAGGTGGCACGGTAAGACCTAGACCTGGGACCGATTTACTTTTTCATTTTGATGTCCCCAGAGGCCAAAAACACTATTCGTTCAAATTTTTATATATGTATATATATATAGACTTATATGTATATATATATATACGTCCGTGAACGCGATAACTTGAGTAATTTTTGTCCGATTTTGATGAAATTTGGTTTAAAGGTGTAAAGCGGGATAAACTTGAATGAGTTCGCGAACCAGCATAATCGGACCATGGGAACGGGGCTTTACGGGGGGTTTTATGGGGTAAAAATTGGTTTTTCTCACTTTTGACCCTCAAAACACAAAATTTCCCAATTTCTCTTTAGACCTTTTTAAAGAGCTTAAAAAAACAAATAATTTAGTATATAAAAGTATTTTTGTTCAATTATTAGTAACGGAGAAAATGAAAAAAATTGTAAATTTAAAATTCCCATGTTATTCTTATGGAGAATATTGTCAAATGTTGTAGTTTGCTTGTTTATGAATATATTTTGATCAAACTTGGCAAATTTATTTATTTTGTACTAAGCTATCAATATTTTACTCAAAAACACACTTTATTAGTTTCCTTGTAGCAGCAAACCTAGGTACTCGTTAAACCTAATGTTATTAAAATACAGGGTGTTGAAAATGTCTGGAACCAACATTATATCTAGTGAATGGTTAAAGAAAAACAAATGATAATTTGTGTACGGATATACTATGGTTTTACCTATCTTTTAGTGCCTTATGGAATTTTTACCACTTATAGGGAACGTCCTGTGGAGGATGCAGTAAAAAGTTTTAATGGAAGCCTATGGTAAATGATACATAATTTTAAAGGCCATTTTTTTCTGAGTAAAGAGCCACAAGTTTCATCTCAAAAGGACTACCCTAGCAAAAATGGTGACTGTTTGAAATTTAAAAACCCACTTAAAGGGAACGTCCTGTGGAGGAAGCAGTAAAATGTTTTACTGTAAGCCTATGGTAAATGATACATAATTTTAAAGGCCATTTTTTTTCTGAGTAAGGAGCCACAAGTTTCATCTCAAAAGGACCATCCTAGCGAAAATGGCGTTTTACTAAACTTATTTTTAACAGAAATACCAATTAGCTTTAAATTATTTTCAAAAACTTCAAACAGTCACCATTTTCGCTAG